AGMGCGSKKWTAWWTTTTCTTTAGCATGCTATCATAGGCAGACAATCCATAAAGTCGTCTATGACAAACTAACAAAATATTTTATAACAAGAAAGAAAACAAAGTACTTTAGAATTCCCTGTCCTTTGAAAGGTGTTAAGTTTTGTACGTATATTTGAAAGTTTGCTTTTGGGCAGGTGCTGATATTTCGAAGTCCACTTATTGACATTGGTAGCCATGACATCAAAATCATCACAAAGCAGTGCATTATAAGTGCAGTTTTAGCAGATTTCTTGCATATCCTCATTTKATGTCATACTGAGTTTTTTTATGATTCAACCGTCATCGTTTTAGTTTTCTCRATATAAAGAAATTATGCTCGAAGTCATTTACTCGATGAACAAGATTTAACAAAATGTGGCCGAAAGCGATTATGATAAAGAATGCCGCATTTGTAGCTAGCAAAGCAGCTTTCTTTTTCAGTTAGATTAACATATGAAGAATACTCCTGTTTGGAATTCTCCAATGCTCTGTGTTAGCTAGTCTCAATTGTGTGCAAAGTCATCATTCCTAATTTTGAGCATAAAAGTATGAGATTTCAAATCAATTTATTGTCGTTCTTTACAGGTTCTACAGTTTTCTCTGAAAATATGTTGCTTGTTTCCAAATCATCAATTTTAGTAACCTGAAAGAAGTACGAACTTGCACCTCTATTAACTAGCAAAAATAACAAATAACCCAGCAATAGAAGAAACTAAATAGCTAATGCTTAAAAAGATAACATGTCAGGAAATATATAAAATTCATTGCAATGCTTTTGTGTGTATTTACTCTATAGTCCTCAAAAAAGACTCTGTAAGCATTATATCAATACATCTATAGAGTGGAGGCGACGAAAAACTAAGTAACTGGCTGTAAACGCATCCCTTGTTGTCATGCACTATAGTTCAAATGGTCGACCTGCGACTCAGTAGTCAAACATAACTATCAACTCGAGTTGGYCAAACGTGCATAATTTCAGTTAATCGTGAAAAAMTATTGTCTTTATCACATGACTGAAAAGATTTATGCTGAGCCTCGTCTTGATTACTTTGTATGTGATATAGCTGGAGCAAAATTTACAAGTCGGTTGCTCTAAACTTAAGGTCAATACAATGGACRATGGTGTGAGGATATTGATAAGTTCCCTGGATTTTAACAACGGACTACTTTAATAGCGAACTATAACGAGTAAACATTCGTATCGCAAGTATCGAGATACAATAAATTTCTATTAACATAGAAAGCACTGTATACGTTAGTGCATCTTAAAACATCAGCCTTGAAAAAAATTATAGATGCAAAGCGTGTTAAGGACCCTTTACTACTAATTCTATAAGTCCAAAAGAGCAAAAAGTTAAATTTCCCTTGCATTKTGTTTACTATWGGAATAGGAGTCGTGGCTTTTATTACATCCGGCGATAAAACGCGAAGAGGATCATGTGGTAACGATGAATTTTGGTCAGATGTTTTTTTAAAAGAATGAGCCCAGATCGTTCTCAAGTACTAAAACAGCTATCTTATGCATTTAAATAACTATTGTCCAACGAGATTGCTAATTTTAGTATTTACTTTTGCCACACATTTTTAACCATTAGCTCTTGCTGTTTTTCACATCTACATCTACGTTTTACAGGCCTGAGTACGCACAATGAATTCGAGAGTGTGAACTCATATCTATTTCCCTGTTAATGTTGAAAATAGTGATTACTTATGTAGAATGATATCGTGAACAGTCGATTATAACAGGGTATTCTCGATCAACTTCTATCAACTTATTTTCCCGCTTTTCATTACTAAACCAAGTAAGAATAGACTTAACAATGCTTAAAAGCAGTAAAATGCAATATACAATACAGAGCAAATATTGCACGCGTTTGTAACCGAATTGATTCGTGAGCAATACAGCGAAAAAAAAAGGTAAGCGATTATATGGACGTGTCAGCGGTGACGATGGACATCTGTTTCTCTGGATTAGATTAGTCTCAGATAGTCCTTTAAGAGCCAGGGCTTTCTCAATTGATAGTACTACAAAGGTGTAAAAACTAAGCAATTATTACCATTAAATAACAAAAATAAAAAGAGAAGCTACGCCGAAGGAAAACTCCAAACGCCTGAAATGACTTGTCAATATTTGAACTTGTAGTAGAACAAATTATTCATCACAATCGACAAAATAACAAGGTTTTATATTAGAAAAGCCCAATCAATTTTACACTATCAAAAGTAAAACTTTGAACTATGAATTAAAAATGGAATTACCTGCGATCTGGAAAATATAACAAGAAAGAAAGAGAAAATTAAGGGAAAAACAGGACTTCCTTTCCGGCAATCCCATGCTACAGTAACTTCTTTGTCGCTCTAGTCGGCGGGTCATGAAATTTGTCGAAACGATTTATGTATTATGAACAATTGCTAAGTGCTTATTCAGCTTATATAGCAATGCAACGTACTGTAAACATGACAACAGGACAAAAAAAATTGAAMGAAGACATAACACTTGCGTCAACTTAAATGTAAACATGTCAAAAATTCCCGTTGAGTTCTGTTGACACAATTTAGTGAAATTCAATTGGAAACAAGGTTTTGCCCTATATTWAGGTATAATATCCTAGGAAATTTGCGATCATAATTGATGAAATTTGGAGTTAGACTTAATTGTTCGCCACGTCGTTGTGTCGGGAACCTTTAAAGTTAGCCAAGGAGTAAAAATTACAAGTAATTTCAAATGATATTTTCCGGCTTATATATCTTACACATGTGGTCAGTAAACACAAATTATTTGCTACAGCTTTATTACAGAATTTTCTGTTATTATTTTGTTTTTTGCCAATAAACACAGATCAAACATAGCGATTTGAAAAAATCATCAAGCTATTTACCATGTCCTTTTAGTTTTATTGCCAGAATTGAATTCCCTTCTCTATTTAATTACTTAGAATAGTAAAAGAACGCTGTGCCAAACTGTGCATTTAAGTGCCTCACGAAAACTCATTTCTCCTTGTTTAAGGAAGAGTTCAAGCTTGAGATTTATTCCATTGCACTCTGGRATCGATTTGGCATGCATAWCCATGATAGTATGCTTTTTTTCTTTTCTTTTTATCTTTKTTCCTTTGTTTCTTTTTTCTATGTTCAAAGTAAAAAGAAAAAAGAAAGAAACAAGTCAAACCCATACCAAGCCAAACAAAACCAAGCGAAACCAAACTAATTATTACAATAACAAACCAATCTAATTATTACAATATCATGAAAACAATCGTTAATAAATAATGCTTTATTACTAAAAACAGCGAAAAAAAAACCCGAAAGAAAAAAGGTAAAAACGTACAAACATGACTGAAATATGCCATTATCTCGTTGAAACTCGAAGTGGCTGACATATTTTAATGTCTTAGAGTTACGCGCTAGGCGTGAAACCTTTCATATACAATAGGTTTCGCGCCATACGGTTTTATAAAAGAATTAGATACTACGCAAGATCTGATTGGCCGAGAAGAGTGTGTGCATAGCAGTTTTTACCATAATCACTTTTTTGTGCTCGAGCTGTTGAAGTCAAACAAGAAAGCGTTCTTTTATAACTTTCAGTCAAACAATTACTACAGCTCGAATTGTTGAAGTCAAACACGAAAGCGTTCTTCTATATCTTAAGTCGAACACGAACTACAACTCGAATTGTTGAAGTCAAACACGAAAGTGTTCTTTTATTACTTCGGTCAATCACAAACTACAGCTCGAACTGTTTATGTCAAACACGAAAGCGTTCTTTTATATCTTAAAAAAAGTTGTCATCCAAAATGGCGTCCCCACAGAAATTAACCAAATATTTATTAGTTACTTGGCAACGAATAAGCAATGGCACACGATATGTACAAATCATCATATGATTGACAAGAAGCCTAACCATTCACGTGATAATATATAAGTTTAGCCAATTAAAGCAATATATTTCAGAGGCTTGGTTTCGGGGCGACTCATTTAAATATGTCCACGAAACAATAGGCATTCTACGCCATGTATTGATAATAGACCCCGAGTAGCGTAGCCAATCAGAACGAAGGATTTGCAATAGTCCACTAGTATGGTAATACTAAAAGCGATTAGACTTGACGGATGTTACTTGCCAATATCGGAGCAAAGAGTGTAAAGAAAACACAAAATGGGTAATCAAAATAATTGAAGGTAAGCCAAAAATATCATTTTATCAAAAGAAGTTATGCATAGGGTGACGTTGCGCTCGTGGTTCCACTTGAGTTTTGACGTCATTCAATGTTCGAGTACACACCATAAAAATTTCATTGTTAATGTAAACATGGTTTCTACGTCACCATTTTGCAAGTGCGACTTTCAAAACTAGCATATCAAAGTCATTGCATACAAAAGCTTGTATCAACTTCCGGTGATGGATCACGCCCCCAACAATGCCCGACTATAAATAGCAGCCGATTTGAGCCTTTTTGCTCATTTATTCAGAATCGGCTCTAAAATGTCAATTATTACCATTGGATTTATACAAAGTAATATTTAAGCTCTAGGAAAATCATATTTATTTTGAAAAARTAWAAAAAATAAGGAGGCAAAATTCGATTTTCTGAATCAAGGTTGCGTACCTCGTACACAAGAGGTTTTGAACTCTTGTCACCACCTTGCGTAATACAACGTGTCCGTACTCCTTAATGCATGCCTATACTGTAATATTACCACAAGATTCGAAAAAAGTGGCAAATTTGCTAGATTTTGATATACAATTTCACTACATATATAAAGGATCTTTGGGCGATTTTCGAGTATTTGCCGGCTATTTAATACTATTTTAGCATTTTTATTATTATTATTATTATTATTATTATTATTATTATTGATTCCACTCAAAATTTATATCCGATTCTATATAAAAGTAAATAATTGAAGGAGTCTAATAATAATGGTTTAATAGCATTAAATTTATCTTAGGTAATTTAGGGAATAACCATATTCACAGATGGCTTTCATAACATTTTTGAGCGACTGATTTTTTCATTAGCATATTGTATTAAAGATAAAATAGCACAAAACTCAAAGACACAACACTGAAAAGCAAGAATATTTCAACATGCAATCATTTATTTCAATCAGTTCACAGAGAATTAGCAAATATTGTGTTATGTGTCATACGCACCTTAAGTAACAATGCGCGTAAGAACTGTAGAACTCTCTATTGTTCTGCGGCATTGCAACTTCCCCACATATAAATGTCTTGGTTTTCACACTGATTATATATCAACCTATGGGTAACGCATTTTTGAAATAAAATGTGGATAAACTCTATTTTGAAACAAAGTTTCTTTTGTATTAAAACCTCTTATCCAATCATAAGCACTTAAAACAATAGCCAAAAGAAGCTTCTGAATTTGCTATGCTCCCCACATAGAATTGCCTTAATATTGTAGCTAAAGAAAGCTTTCATGAAGTCGGAATCAGATATTAAATAAAATATTAGAAAATGCGATAACTTGTAAAATTATAGTAGATTTTCTTGTTTGAACCAATGGGATTGATGGATTATACAATACACAATTAGCACCTTCTTGCATTCCTTTGCCGTTTGCTTCTATAGTTCTTACTCGGGCCATTACTTAAGCAAGAGATATAATTGAGTATATACAACAATAAAAAGGCCGGACGCAACGCCTAGCTAGGGAAACCCCATTGGCCCATGCTTACCGGGCTCCGCCCCAACATTAAATGTGTTACTGGCCAATGAAGAACAGTCTAATCCATGTCGCTAATAGCCCGTTTGCATTATGACGTAACTTTACTACAACTACCAGAGAGCCTTGCGCATTTTCATTGTTATTCAGATTTTTAATCCCCTTGGAGATTAATAAAACAATTGGCACTAATTGCATTACAAAGGAAAGTTGGCGTAGCATTCTGGTAGTTGTAGTAAATGACTCCATAATGCATATCGCCTATTGCCCGTTCCGAATTTCAAAAAGAGACTGGTGACTAGTCACAAACACGATACCGTTTGAAGCAATCAAAAAACAGACAACAGGACAAGAAAGAGCAAACTAGCAAAATTAGTAAAGCTGCTGAGTTTGAGACTATTCGGATTAATCATTACAGAGATTCAAGCGTTTAAAACTCGAAAAGATTACATAGAATGTATGGAGCTCTTGAGCCACGTCCCCAAAAACCATACATTCTCTCTTATTTTTACAAATTTGAAAAAAATTCCTACTCGGTGATTATTCAACCAAATATGCTCAAACTTGACAAGAACAGTTATTTTAGTGGGGTCTTTCATGTAATGAGGCTCAGTTTTCGATACATTCATCAGGAGTTTCGGAGAACAATAAGTCCGCCATCTTGAAAAGTGAGACTCGAATCACTAAATTATAACTCCTAAAGAAATTAAAAGGTTCTAAGCTAATGTAATCTAATATAATATACGATATAATGATAGATTAGTTGACTCAGCAACTACGAATTTTTTCTAAAGCAAAACAGTGATTTGGGGCTCACTTTTCATGATGGCGGACACGTTGTTCTCTGAAACTCCTGATGCATCATGCAYGTTAAAAATGAAATATTTTCACACTCGTTACCAGTCTCCTTTTGAATTTCGGAATGGCCAATTAAGTCTGAAAACTGAAATAATCATAGTGTTGTAGTTTCGTACTCGTCTTTAGAACCCAAAGCTCAAAAATGGAAATGTCTTCAAGAGAATTATATTTTTATCTAAATCTGTAACAGAATCCTGTCTCTTCATTTATGTTTGACACTGGCATTTTATCAAACCTATTCAGCCATACGTTAGAATTGGAAGGATTCGAAAGTGAACACCATCGCACAATGAGCTGAAGCTGAATCGCTTGGACGCGTCTATCACAATGGTGTCTTGTTGTTATTGAGTTGAATTTATACACTACTCTCGCAGTTGTATGCCAGTTAATATATATTAAGCACTTAACTTCCAAAACAAACACATCAACTTGCCAGCACTGCAAAGGTATGAATGAAATATCTTAATATCAATTATACTACTCATAGCTACCGCTAAGTGCCAACGAGCAGATGATGTTTTCCAGAAATTGTCATGAAGGGGATTTAGCGCGACATTAAATCAGTTAAATAGACGAAATATGTCACATAATTAGAAACTAAGAAACCAGT